GGTAGCAGCCCAGGGCCACCAGCACTGGAATGCCGGCTGTGGTCACCAGGACGAAGTTCATCAGCTGACGGCGCCTCAAGTGCACAGACAGCTTCGATTTATGTTCCCAATTGTTCCCAGACACTCCGATGCTTCACACCTTTGCCACACCAGGCCACCCCCCAAGCAAAGCACAGGAGGCAAATGCACAACCTGAAGTAGGTCCAGGCACTGCAAATCTGGAACGAAGCCTCAGTCAGACATCCCTGCGGTCCCTATCTGGCGATCCCCTGTAGCAAAGCAAAAGCAAATGATGCCAGGCCGCCGGTGTACTCCCCGCCGGCAGACAGCTGTGTCAGTGTCTGGACTCGCGGGGTGGGGGCCTGCCACGTGATCTCAGCAGCTGCACTACATGTTAACAAAGCTATCTGCGGCCTTCGCGCCAACGAAAGCACTGGCCACAGAAGCTGCCACCAGCGCTGCCAGCAGGACAGCCTTTGTGGTTCGGAGCACCAAGCCGTGCTTATCAACCTTTGAAACCTGCCACATGCAACAAAGCAGCCACTGCCCTCATCACTCGAAGCTTTGCCATGGCTTGGCACTCTCCAAAGCTCTCCCCCGAAATCCCTTGAGCAGCCTTTGTCAAGAAGCAACTAGAGAAGGGTCCAGATTTCCAGGCGGTTCCAAAATGAGTTGCTCCCTTTTTGTCGGTGTTCTGCTGCTCTTTCTTCTGTGCTCCCGACATCTGTCGAGCTGGGAAAAACGAAGAAGGAGCCTATTCCGCCAGAGGCAGCACACCGCCCTGGTATCTAGGATAATACTTGAAGTACTGCAACAAGTAGATATGTACCGTACCATACCATGCCTATTACGATCCCCGGGCTGGAGTTGCCAGTCTTCCTGCCTCAAAAGTGCGGAATTGAATGGGCCGACAAAGAATCAGCCGTCACAGCTTCAGCACTACTTTGACACAAGCTGTGTTCACCTGCATGACAGGTGCAACAAGCTCTATGTACATTGCAGAACTCACAATCTGCCAGGCCAGCAGCCTAGACCTTC